TATGTTAGTGTTTGATGGCGACATTTTATAGATATTCTAGATATTCTGGCTAGATTTTTCCTCTTCCTGCTTGCTGCAAAATTCTGGTGCCAGGCGATGGAAACCCAGCAAGTGCTTGGGACCTTCCTCTCCCTGCAGAAGGGACGGACAAGCTGCTGCAGCCCTTAATAATTGTATGCCCGTGCTTCTGCAGGAATGTTTACCCATAGCAGCACACTGCAAACCTGGCAGTTTGGATTTAAGGCTGGCTCAGCAGCACTCTTTGTCCTGCTCAGGTAACAGTAGTAAAGAGTGGCCCACAAGCCTGTTCAGGTTTTTATGAGTAAGGGCAGTGATTACGGGGTGGTCATATGGTTAAAGTAGTTAAATAACACTGTGGAGGATCTCACTGTCTCTTCCTCTTTCTCTGTATCTTCCCCTTCCCATGCATCCATCCCTGTCTTCTGCCAAACAGTTCCTGAAGTTAGAAGATGTTACTCTCTGAGTAAACAAAGTACTGTTCAAAGCTAAATTCCCTAAAAGGTAGACACTAAGCAATTCAAACTGGAGATTCAAAATTAGTAGAAAATGCTAATAATATCCTGGTGTCTTTGTCCCTTTCTGCAAAGTTTCTTCTCTGTAAAAAATATTTTACAAGAGGAGTGCCATGAAAAGAAGTTAATGAATGTCTGTAAAGCACTCAGATATTAGTGATGAGCAGTATAACAGAGGCTGCTAGGAAATTAACCATTCATATAATTTTATAACTTGTATTGAGAGCAAACACTAAACAATGCATAATAAATGAACGCTATGATCTATACAATGGCAAAACAAAATACAGGGTAACTATTCAGTGAGCAGCATTCATTTTAACACATTACAAGGAAGAAGTGGATGTGGCCATGTAATTAAAGATGATATCATATTGGATTTTCCTGAAAATGGCTGAGTGGATGCTGTCAAAGCAATTTTAATACTAGTATCTCCTAACTTTTGAGTTCTTGACTTTGCACCAACAACTTTCGAAGAATGTATATTCTGAGATGTTTAAAATGTAAAAATTCTAAAATATAAAATCCACAGGTGTTCTCAGCCTTTTTTTCTTCTCCCCACCCCCAATCCTATTGTAATTAGCACAGTTTATACATATAGCTATACCTTACTGCTGACTCAGGCCCCAGTATTGTCTTTCATTTGGGTACTCACAACATTCAGATTATGCCGCAGACCTCAGCTTTTAGCCTCATCGTACCTCCGATGTCCTGCACGTTGAATGAAAAATTGAAATAAACCCTCCCTCTCTCAGCCAGAGCTAGTTCCCAGCTCCCAGCTAAGGCAAACTCAGTCACTTCAAATATGATGTTGTGCAATTAACTCTGGCTTTGCTCCTGTGCACATAAAATCTAGTTAAGGTAGAAGATAGAAGAGGGAAGCTGTGCTCTCGTAAGCCCTAATGAAAATAGATGACATAGTCTGAACTTTCAGTGTTTTCAGTGCTTACTTTCTGCGCGGATAACAAAAGAGCAGTGAGGGATCTGATGAAGCTTCCAAGAAAGCCTGATAGCTTTATATTCAGAGCTGGCATTTGCCTTGGCGATGGGGATCTTGTCCACATCCCAAAGGGGACTGCATGCAAAGTTGTGAATTATGATCTTAGAGTTCCTTCTGGAGTGGGGCTATCTACAGTAAAGGGGCTACCAAAGGAGGGGATAGGCTGCCAGAAGATTTCTCCAGTAGCAAACTTTTCTTATGGACCATGCTTGGGAGTCCTTGGCTAAGGTTCCCCCAAGGTGAAAGCAAGATTAAGGTATAAAAAAAAGTCCAGTCCTGTAGATCGTGTTGGAGTGGGGTATTAAGGGGGGGCTAACCAAAGAAGGTTGAGGCTGCAGAAATATTTGTCCCCTGAGGGTCCCTCTCCAGTGTCGTGGCCCATGCTAGTGTTAGGGTTAGGAGAACGACAAAGCCTAGAGCTCCACTGTGAGGGGGGAAAGAAAGCCTGCAGAAGGCATGCCTCGAGAAGTATTTCATGAAGCCAATGCCTAGGTCTTCCTTGGCTGAGGCTCAGGCCAGACCTAGTTATCCCACACCTGAGGTTATGTTTACAAGTCAGTTTAGGATTAGCGGGGAGGCAGTTACAGGCTCCTAAGAGGTTGCCTCCCATACAGCTAGGCTCAATAATCCATCTTTCATATATTATCATTTTTCTTTCTCAGAGAAAGAAATCATCATTGTTTTTCTTTCCCAGAGATCATTATCTTCCTTTCCCAAAGAATTTTCCCTTCAAGAGCATCTACCAGAATTCAGGTTGACGAGGGAATATCCCTTCCTTTTCTGGAAGGAAAGATTATAGGATAAGGCCACAGGTCTCAGTGATACTGACACAGTCAGGGAACATCATATGGCAAAGGCTCCTATGATCTGTGTATCTACCAATTGAAGATCCTGGTGGTCAAAAACCTAACAGTGGAATTGACTAGCAGTAGAGAAGTGAACAGATGGGATCACTACACTCTGAATGACCACAAGAAACCCCACTGGTGTGATAATATTGAGCATCATCTGCACCATGTAAGGGTTGTGTTTGTTATAGAGCTACATGAAGATCATCATTTTTTTCTCTAAAAATCCTCCTATTTATAGTGACCAAAGGTGGCCTGGAAGTAGCTTGGAATTTTTAATGAAGTTATTCCTGGGAGCTATGAAGGATGGTGGAAATGAATATTTATAGAGATTCAGCCAAAAACAATCCCCAAAAGATTAGGTCTGGCACCCTGCAGTGAAAGTGAGAAAGAGCAGCATGCTAGACGCAGTGTTGGCTGAGATATTAGATAACATGTTCCTGGGTCTCACTGACAGAAGAACACTATTGTTGTGCTCTTGCTAATCAAACAGATCCTACTAGAAGTGGAAACTTATGTCCAAGTCTGAATGCACCCATTAACGCCATACTTGGTAATCTGTTGATACACGTATATCCTGTTTCAGATCATGGTCCAAAGCAATCTGGCTGCAGGCTGAAGTTCAGGGTGAAACTGTGTATGAATCGCTGATTCGACATTCTCAGGAGTTGTCTAGTGCCACTAAAGAACACTGAAGTAACTAGAAAGTGTTGATTAAGTAATGTAAGAGTGTAATGGATAGTTCTTGATGTGTTATTTATGTTTATTTCCAAGTGTTTTATGGCCATACAAAAACTATATAAGCGATTATCCTGAACATAAAGCTCAGCCTTGTTAGCGTTGCATTGCAAGTTATTTTGACTGCAGAGTCAAATGAAATCCTCTTGAAAGGATACTATCCTCTTAACCTGTGGAGAAAGGAGATAAGGAATTAAACACTTCTTATACACTCTTATTAGATATTCTAGTTGAGTTGACTATTATTAAATGAATACTTGTAGTTCAAACAGAAAAATATCAGTTCAAATTCTTTAAAGCCATGTAGTTTATTGGTTATCAGATGTTATTCTCAGAGCTAGCACATTTAGAAATTTCGGAAAGCTTCTAATTTATTTTTTAAGGCTGACAAACCTTTGAGATTTGGATAGAGAGTTTAGCTTGTGCCCTGTCTTCTCATTTGTTTGATTAAAACTTCAGTAAAGGATTTGCGCAGGTATTGATTAGCTTGTTTTCTTCAGTCTAATTAATGAAATATTATAAGTTTAACTAAGAACCATTCTTACTGAAACATTCCACCTCGTGTCTTTCTGGTCAGATTCCTCTCCTTGCCAAATATGTATCAAGGCCTACTTACATTTTATCCAAATCATCTTAATGTCAGAGGTTTGGAATGCAGTCCAGAATATCTGGATTTCATTTTCTATTGCTTACAAAGTATATTTAGTGTAGGTTAGCTCCATCTGTATCTGCCTTTGTTTATTTCCTCTGTATTCATACAGAAAACACTACTCATTCCTAATGCTTGCTCACGCAAGCAGGATATTATTTTAAACTTTTCACCCAGCATTCTAATTTATTTCCTTCATTCCTCTTGAAGCCTTACAGATAGATAGTAAAGTAATTTGTTCATGCCTCCTTCTGTGCTTTTCACTAGTAAAAGACAAATAAAATAGTAGCTGAATAGGCAACTTATGTGTTGTGTGATACATTGATCTATCTTAAAAGTTTGCACATTAGGTTTATCTGTAATTAATTTAAGAGGACTTCTCCTGTGAGTAGATGGCGCATTTCTGATAACTGTTTACCACCATTTACTTCAGATAAGCTAATCTTGGAAAGGACATTGTAACTTTGCTCGACGGAAGTTGAATGCCATCCCAGCTGGAAATGCTGAATCACCTCATTCTTATTTCAGTTTAATTTACACTGAACGCAAAGCAGCAGAAGTGCTAAACCGTACCCTCAGATGAACAAGCTAAAACTATTGCTTTAACGGTGTTTGTAAATTAGAGACGTTAGTAATAGAGGGCAAATTATGCAATTGTTTTAAAAGGAGTAGATTTTCACAGAACGTAGATGTGCAGGTGTTTCCAGTGACTTGAGACAAGTATTGTTGTTGCTCATCTAACAGCAGCGTAGCTGAAAAATTGCTAATGAGGCATTTGAAATAACGTGAAAATGGAATGGGGAAGATTCTAGTTTGACTCACCTCTTGAAACATTAGTTCATTACTATTATTTTGGATATCTTTGACTTTTAAGATGCCCGAGTGTCAGTACATACCTATACCTCTGTGTAGTTCAAGTGGGACTGGGCATCATTTTTTGTGACAGGAGCACTCGCAAAATTTTCTTGGTGAATTTTTTGGGGGACGCCATTCAGGCACTCTTGAACTCTAGTTCTCTTGAGACCAATAGACCTTTCCATCTGCAGTGGAATCAGCATTTCACCCAAATGTGCAGACAATATATTCTAACAATAAATTTGTTGTGTAGTTCTAATTAACATGCCACATGCTATCTTTTTGTAAATTTGCAGCATGTTTATAAAAACTATATTATCTTTCTGATATGTTTTACTGACTGGTAAAATTAACGATTTTTATTTTTATTTTTTCAGATGGTTTTTTGGCCCAATCAAGCGAGCAGATGCAGAAAGACAACTATCTTATCCTGGAAACCAGGCAGGAGCCTTCCTAATCAGAGAAAGCGAAAGTCTAAAAGGAGAATTTTCACTTTCAGGTATAGTCCAGTTTTTTTATCTTAATCAATGTTTTAAAAGTTTCTCAGGTAGTTTGTATTTTTTCATTTTTGAGAGTGATAAACTGTGGACATGAAAGTGAAATTAAAATTCATAATAATCTTTCTTTCCTAGGAGATATAAAAAGACAAGTTGGCAAGAGCCATTTGGGTCTTTACTAACTTTTATGTTATAGCCTGTGTTTATTAATATGCTGAAAATACAAATTAACTTTTTTGTCCTTATTACTTTCAGTGTTCTAGCTGCCTTGAAATAGGAACTATTTTCATAATTAAAATATCAGAAATACATTACAGCTATACATTATTGTCCTAATCGGTACATGTAATTGAAGTTAAACTCATGTTGGCAGACCTCTGCAGTTCAAGAAAATGAAATTTCTGCTAGAATACACCCTTAGGTTTATACTTATTTCTTTCCAGGGACAAAATGATAGGAAGATTTGCAGAGCTATACTTCAGAAAGTGTTGTATTTAATTGAAAAAATAGTTGTAAACATCAATAAAAAGTTAGATTTATAATGATAATGATTTTTTGAAATGTAGTTAAAGTTGTCCATTTGAATCCGAAAGACTATCAAATGAGAATACTACTATTTTACTTACTGGCTTACATGTATGCACCATCTTTTATATGTCAATAGATATTTGCCCCAATCGATAGTGAACTTTATCATTATTCTTTGGTGGTTTCCCCTGGACATCTTTTAACCAAATCTATAGTACAGGTATGAGTTAAGAGTATGTTGTCCCTGGGAGAACAGGAGAATACCTGGCAAAATACATCAAGAAGTCTTTAGATAACCTTGCTTACAAACTTCTTAAGGCATAGAATGAGGAAAGCTGTACGTCCCTAATTCTGTAAGGCAGTAAAGAATCTTGATGATTATGAATAAACTGTAAGCTGTCATATGTAGAATTATGCCAGTGAAGTGAGTAGTGTCTTGTGCATCAACAGATTCTTTCACATTGACTCCTGTTCTGCCTGGATGATGTGTCACTCATCTTCTAAGCATAACAGAGAAATGTGTCAAGCAGATTAATGAACATTTGACACATTCCTGGTTTCTCTTTCTGAAACATAAGGAAAGGGTATATACCAGAACTGTCTTGTGGTAATAGGGGAGGGTTGTTTTTTATTGCCAAGACAAATATGCGTTGCCTGTGTAGTGAAATGCAATGACGTTTATAAAATAAATATGATGTTTTTAGTTATGGTAGGGTTCATTCCACGGTCGTTGCCTTCCCTTAAGGAAGTTCAACTCTTGCTAAGAAGGGCTGATATGAACATTAAGCATCAGCAAGGAGTCAGATGACTACTAAACTGTGACAGAACTGACCAGCTGTATGTGTACCTTTTTATCTGAAGAATGTATTAAAGCTGCAAACCCTTCAAAATGCTTTCCCTCTATCCACCAGCTTATGCCTGCCTTACATGGCTTCAGCTTCGTTCAGCTGTTCTTCATCAGTGAGCTGATTTTATCCAAGGGCTGGGCTAGGCTGATAACAGTGTGATGGTATGCAGGGAAGGATAGATTTGCCTGTATTATCTGCTTAATGCTGGCACTTGAATACATGCTACCTTACTAAAAGTCAATGAAAAAGCTTGTGCTTGTGCATCTGTGGGTAGAAATGCAATTTCCTTTTATTATTCTTAACTGCAGCCTTCTACAGAAGATTCAAAGTCTTAATTCTTTACCCTACATCTTGACTACCTCTCCAAGATGAAGGCAGCGATACCTTACTAACAATATCAAATACTATAGAGAAATATCCGAGAGAATGAAAGTAGATCTTAGTCCAGCATTTGTGACAGGATGAGATCATCCTTAAATGCCACTGTTTAATTTTTTCCTTCCAGATCCTGGATAGAAACCATAATCTATCTGATTTAGTATATTAGCTTCAGTTAAATAAGCTTGTAATAGTCCCAGGTTTCCAGATAAGCTTATTTGAGAACAGAAGTTTTGATGCTTGCTGATAACAAGCAAAGTATGAAATTATCTCTGTGGATTTCTTCTGTGCTGGTTGACATAGCTTTGTCTGATGAAGCGAAGAGTAGATTGGTTCTCAGTAATGCATTTTAACAAGGAAATTACACCAAGATTTCCCAAATCTTCTTTTCAGAATGGTATCGGAGAACAGCATATAAGCTGAGAAAGAGTCCAGCTACAGGAGCCAGCCCTTCTTCGTGCGTGAACAAGGGTTGCCCTTTATGCGTGTGTGCAGAGGTTCTGTGCCATCTCAGATTTTTAAGCATTTGTGCTCTTTTAGGCAAAGAAAGAGAATAAGTTCTGAAACAGTCTATAGACAGAGGGAGTTAATGAAATGATTCACCACTGCTGCTATAACTTTTAGCAGCTTCCCAGTAACTTAGCTTTGGCACTCCACTCCATCCTAAAGAGGCTAAATATTATTTGCTACTTACTGACCAGGCTTAACCGAAAGATGTCTCCTTGTGTTGTGCAGGCTGTTTGCTTCCAACCTAATGGTATACATAATGGTCCAGACATTGTGTGTCCATAATCTCTTTATTTAGGTCTACTTTTGGGAGATTGAGCACCTGCTAAAGTAAATGAAGAAGTACATTGTACTGTGAGAAGAATTAATTGGAAGGAAGGTTGTTTAGTCCACCAGATGCTAGGAAAAAGGTAGTTTTTCTGGATCTGTCTTGTTCCATCAGAAGTTATGGGATGTTCAAAGCTGAGGCAGCAAAGCAGTGTTTTTTCTTGAGGAATAGTGATTCAGTGCTTTTCCTTTTAAGAAGTCTTGGGTAGCTTCTGTCTTGGCAAGTAGATGATGTGCTAATGGGGCAGAAGTCACAATCTCATCTTTCAGAACATATCTTTAATTTCAGTTTCCAGTTTTTTAAGTGCAGGAAGTAGCCACAGGCCACAAAACACCCACTCTGTGCAGGACTGATTGATTGGGTTTGCTCTACCTGCTATGCTATTTTGGTTTTACTCCAGCATATATGATGATAAGGGCTAGAAGAGTGGCAACCTAGCTTTCAGAATTAAGGTCTTTCTAAAAGTACTGCAAGTCTCTGTCCAGCCTAACATTTAAATACTATCAAATTAAAAAGGGAAAAAAATTAAAAAAGAAAGATTTTTGCCCAAATATGCGTGAACGGATTTTTATGACTTTCATGCTTGAGATCATACACATATGGGCAAAGTGTAAGAGACTTAATGAGAGAGAGACAAATGTATCTCTTTAGGGGTAGGGGAAAAAGGAAAGAAACTTCCTTTCGTTAAAAGGACAATTTTAGTTTCTAACTTGCCATGATGTAAATGATTTAGAGGATAAATCACTATTTAAATTACAAACAAAAAGTTATATTCAGAAAGGTTCTTCTCAACTGTAAATGGTTAAATGGAAAGCACATAAAACTTTAGATAGGCCTTTGAGATGTGTTGCTATCATTTTAAAGTGTTTGACATTTTTAAAATAGGTTTTCCCATTTTAAAAATGCACATGTTGCAGAAGGATTTTAATGTTGATGACTCCAGCATCTGGTGTAAAATGTATTAAATTTTAAACATGTTGGTGCCATCTTAGACATTGCCTCTTTTTAATTAAAAGCCATAATTTAGATATGCTCCGCTTAATTGAGTGTCACTGCCAATGATAGCAGGAGGTGCTCAGCTTCCCCCCACCCCCGAATAATGGTATCTAAAAGACTGATTGCATTAAATGGCAATGTGAAAAGTTTGTGGTTTTTCTCTCCCCCCCCC